TTTTATTAAATTTTATTCAGCCAGCAATTTAATAAAACTATAGTTCATTTAATAAAAATCTTTATGACTCTTCAAAAATTGTTACAACATATTTATTTTATTTTATTTTTCTTTTAATTTGTTTCATACAATTATCCACCTATTTTTTTTACTATATTTTGGTTTTGTAACGGTTGCATGTGATTACCATTTTTTATTCTTGTATATTTGGGGTCTATAAGTGTTGCATGGTGACGAGATAATGTTTAAACAATTATATTTGATGGTTAAAAATATTTTTTTAATTTGTATGTTGATTATTCACATGTAAAAGAAGTATTAATTATTGGTATGAATAGATACAGTCCAAAATATATTTAAAAAATATCTTTTGTAATAGAGATATTTACACCAACTTCTTTAAATTTAAATTCTTCTTCCAACATTGTACACTATATTAGTTGAATTTAATGTAAAATAATTATCAATTTCATTTTATGCAATAAATATAGTGATGAAGTTGAATATTTTACGATGTTCATTTTTACTAGACAAAATTTTTAAAATGCAATACTATTATTTAACTTATAATTTTATTATTATACATATACATATAATTTATAATAATTTAAACATCTGTGCACATGCATAAGATCGAATACGAGTAAAAATAAAGGTTGGCATTAGTTGAAAACAATTTTACTAGTGCATACTCACATCGGCAGTTCGATATATATTCTCTTTTTAGATATTATATTATCCATCATCTTATTTGTTGGAGGCGAACGAAGAGCTTGTAGAGAGAGATGCAGGATGGGAGATGGGCTGCTAAGATTGAACTGAAGAGATGGCGATATATTTATTACATAACACGATCTTGATTACGCGAATGAAAGGAAATGATGAAGATATGTTTTGTAGAGCAAGGTATGGAGGAAATATTTTATCCATACTTAGAATACGAGATTTGAAGAAAAACATGGGAAATAATACTAAACTGGTGTTGCAACAAATGCGTGGTCAACCAAACAACACAACTACCTTGCTTTTTCCTAACAAAACTGTATGTATTCGCAAATAAGGCTGAAACAAAATAAAACTGTATGTATTCCCAAATTCAAACAATACACACGTGCCTGTGCACGCCTCAGTAGCCAACTGACAACTGATGAGGTCACAGACAAGTGAAGATGGGTATTAAATTACAAATCATGCTACATTATCAAAATAATTGACAGATTGATAAATAAATATATTACAAACTAGAGCTGGCAGAGAGATCGCCTGAAATCCCACTTCCGTAGGATGCAGTACGTGAACTGGTGGCAGTGGCAGTGGCACGAGCTTTCTGTAACTGCCGTATCTTGAAAGCATCCCTAGGCTGTGCTTGGCTTTGTATGCCCGATGTCTCCTCATCTTGCCCTAAAAACAATACAAAAATAAACGGATAATAATGAATACAAGAATATGACTTGTCTAATGCCAACACTCAGGAATTTTTTCACTTTCAGCACTAAATGGAACAAATAATTCTTTGGGGCATGTAAGCCACTTAATTTCATCCCATAAGCAAGCAAGCGTGGTTCGGAGATGAAAATCATAGGAAAAGCCAAATAACTTGTAAAATAAAACAAACCAACAAAATAACTTCAATACTGTATCCGATTTCCAATCAGTTCGCAACTATTTCAAGGATAATAACAGTATTATCGTAAAGATGAAAAAGAAGAAAAAAAATAAGAAAGAAAAAACATACTCTCAGAGTCTTTCCTTTTTCCTGGTTGTCTGTCTCTAGTTTGTTTAAATTTGCTTGAACCAGACATGTCACTAGTGCTTGGAGCAGGCACAGTTTGCAATGTTTGAGGCGTACCAGGTTTCCCACTTACTGAGGCTATGTTGCTTTGCAAGCATATGGATATCACAAAATCAACATCGGGGGATGGACCTACAATTTTCAGGCGCAATGAGAGTTTGAGAAAATTTAAAATTCAGTGTATTTATAATATTACTATACCAAACTACCCGGCTCACTTAAGAACTATTTATTCTTAGTTCTGATCCTAACGACACCTAAATTTAA